AATTATAGGCGGCCTTAAACAATGAGAAAAATCCAGTCGGCTATAAAAGGACCCGACATGAAAAATATGAAATAATTGAATTAGGAAAACTAACGGCCTAATTTATAACAAAACTGTGTACTGTTCGAAAAACAAATATGACAGACATGAACCAACGACAACCACTGAGGTACAAGCGCCTGACTTGGGACAGGCACATAAAGAATGTAGCGGGGTAATACATGTTTGTGAGCACCCAACCTTCTTCTAACATCGGACAGCGGTGTAACAGCACAGCATAAGAACAAACTATAAAAATCAGTAGAAAAAGGCAAAAAAAAACAGAAAAACATCAAACAAAAACACTGACCGGACGTTACAGTGTATTCATACATCCATGTTCAATCTATCTGTTGGAATTTTAGTTTTTTTTCTTTGAGAGGAATACATTTTAAAACGATAGGTAGCTTCAAAATATACCGTCAGTTATAAAAACATTTTATGAGCAGCGTTCAATCCTCCCCTAATCTGAGACAATGATGTAACAACACAACATAAGAACAAACTGTAATAAACTGTTGGCTCGACTCTTCAAATCGGCAAGCTTTACTAAAGCATCCATTGTCCAACATAAAGACAAAAAACACAAAGTACAAATCTAAAATTAATCGCAGTTACTGTTAGCTAGTGAAAAGACGTCATCAACAATCTGGGAAAATCATGACCTTGTGCAATGTCAAAATATAAGTACACAATATCGACAGGGTTTAGGACTATCAGTAATACATAAGTAAAGTTTTAATTTATTAAAAAAAATATCAGTATTATTACCAATATAAATCAAATTCAAATATCTTACTACAATTTTAAAATGATATCCTCGAAGAATAACTTTATTCAAAGGATCTTTAACTTTACGTATATGGTAATTAAAATGTACGTGCTCTATAAACATTATTACCGTTAAAATAAGGATGTGATTTCCCATTTTGTATAAGAATTTTAAAAATGAACATTAACGCAAATTTGTGTTTAAATGGATTTATTGTCACGCGGTTTATGCATATATCGCATAATTTACGCATGATGCACTCACGAATTTCGCACATATCGACATTCGTGGGCATATCATACGTGACACCTTTACCTGTGTAGTTCTATTGTGTGAGCTTGCTGTTTCCCAAATTAAAATGAATGTAAAGAACCTTTCTTTGTCATCCAAAATGGTGTGTTAATTGAATAGTGACTTTAGATCTGAACTCAACTCCAAATTAGAGAAATGACAAAAACACTAAAATAAGATTAAAGACAACCACTAATGAGTTACTAATATTGAACATGGATACGCCAAGCTTAGCATTAAATTCCCCTTTATAAGCTCGAATCGGCAGAACAACTAATGTTGGATATGTTCATAAACACATTTCGCACGTATTGGTCCATGCGTATATTGCATATATTGTAAACGCATGATTTACGAATGAAAGCTACTAAATTGTACATGCAAAAGTAATGCGTGTATCATGCGCAATTCATACAACTTATATCTTCATAGATATCATATAGCAAACTCTTCGCTTGCTTTCAATATTCTGCATGCAAGATGTAAATTTAAAATCTCTGGTTTTATCCTTTAACTTTAAATATTGTCATAATATGAAAACATATGAAGTGATGTTTATCCTGCATAGACCACACGATTATTTTTTCCTATTGAAAGGAAGAAAGAAATGATTAGATATTGCATTTAATGGGGGAAAATGAATTAACAAAAATACCGAACTCTAAGGATTTTATATCACATAATAAAATAAAAAGCTTCTAATCAATAATCTTAATGATTGGACAGCTTTGCACTCTTTTTTTCTTTATAAAGGGTAGCGAGAGTCTTAACGCTGATTTTTTTTTTTATAGCTTCCTAATATACATTGATTTAGATACGGTTGTCACTAGCCAATCATTTCGTCAAAGAAAATCTTTTAGAAAAGAAGTAAACTTGAGTAAAGATTAAATGTTTTTCGTTAAGAAAATAAATAATAAGTAAAATTAAAACAGTGCAGTCTTTTTCCTGTATGTAATTTAAAAAAACGCGAAAAGTGAAATAAAGGAATTCAAATTTGAAGCTTATGTTTGTCCTCATAAAAAGTGCCCGATGTTTACCCTTCAAAAGACAAATGATGGATGGATAAACAATTTCCAGGAATGCAAATCAAAGAATATATTCATCAAATATTTATCCCTACCCCATTTTCAACTGCCTGTTTTACCTGTGACTTCACTTTCTGTGGCGTTGATACATTCGTGTGACTCACAGTTCATACTTCCATTATGCTGAATTTGTGTACTGTCGTAAATTAATTTTAGGTGATCGTTGTTATTCTGTGGTTTACATGTTGAAATGTACTATTATATTATTAATTTATGTATTTCTCTGTCCTGCGTGTTCTTGGATTTATTTGTACTGCATTCCTGTCACGTAATGTTGTCATTTTAGCGGTATTTTTAACATTGCCATATAAGCGGGAGGTTTGGCTAGCCATAAAACGAGGTTCATCCCACCATTTGTTTTCTTAAAATGTCCTGTACCAAGTCAGGAATATGGCAGTTGTTATCTAATAGTCTTTTTTTATGTATGTTGGCGTTTGCTTTTGTACAGTTCATTGTTTCTGTTGTTTCGGTTGTTTCCCTCTCATAGTTGATGTGTTTCCCTCAGTTTTGGTTTGTGACCCGGATTTGTTTCAGTTAAATCGAGTTATGACCATTGAACAGCGGTATACTACTATTGCCTTTATCAAGTCAGGGACTTTTTTAATTGTTGTGGTATATCTGACATATCTTTCATGTTTTTTTCTTTGGGGTTAATGGCAGATCCTTTGATTTTTTTTTAGACCAATACAGATAAGGGGGTCCGAAAATCTAGATGTATTTTTGATTTTGTGATTGGTTTACTGTCTCAAGGTTTTAGTATAATACTTTACAACTCCTTTTCTTCATATGTATATGTGTATACCAACTATCTTCGACCGATCGACAGATAACAAGAGTCCAAATTGAACCTATGTTGATAGTTTTTCCACCTTGGGTTAATTAAGAAACCGACAAAAGTGTCCATATATCTTATAGATGTATAATTCAATAAATGTGAATCCATATTGAATTATAAAAAAATGGGTTAGAACCGACCTTCAAACGATCAAAGGTTCTATGATGAGGAGGAACACCTAACTTATAACCATGATAGAAAAAATCTGACAAGGGCATAATGTTCAAAATTTTGAATTCTATCTGTTGTCTGTCAAATCTGTCAGACGACTTTTTTAAGGAGTTATTGCCCTTAAATCACGATTTTGCCAATGTTTTGCAATTTCGCCTTATGTCTTAAAATCTTAAAAATTTTAAAAGATAGAAAGAAATTTAAAATGCAAAAATGATAAGCTAGCCAAGTGCTTCATTTCGGGCATTGGAGGAAATCGTCCAACGGTTAAACATTTTAAGATAAATAGAAACTTAAGTAAGCAAAAGTGATCAAGAAGGCAAGTCTACATATTAGTCAAATGGTCAGAATTGTCAGTCAATTGCAGTTATTGATCTTTAATGATGTTTTTACTCATTATTAGGGCTTTTGTCTATTATCTTGAAAACTAAAGTAGATAGATATATATTTTAAATAGCAGAAATTATCTACTAGACGAGATCTTGAAATAAGTCAACAAGGCTGAAATCGTCAGTCGACTTTTTTAACAGATTGCTTGCTTTTAAATGACGGTATTCGCCATTTTTTTTTTTTTTTTTTTTTTTTTTTTGGCGTTTTTGCCTATTATCTTTAAAACATATAAAAGATAGATAGACAATTTAAACAGCAAAGATTATCAGCAAGACAAGATCTACAAGTAACTCAAATTTTGCCGTAATCATAAGTAGACAATTTATCAGAGTGATTGCCCGTAAATGACAATTTCTGCTTACACTTTCTTGGCAAAAACTAAAGATCAAGAAAAACTGCAAACAAAAAATGATCAGCAAAAGATTAACAAAAAAAGATATATTTTTCATATAAAAGAAAAAGAAGATGTGTTATGATTGCCACAAGAGATGAAATGACACAGAAATTAACAGCTAAAGGTCACCGTACGGCCTTCAACAATGAAAAAAAGCCCATACCGCATAGTCAGCTATAAAAGTCCCCGAAATCACAAGTGTAAAACAATTCAAACGAGAAAACTAACGGCCTATTTAATGTACAAAAAATGAACGAAAAACAAATATGTAACACAGCAACAAACGACAACCACTGAATTACAGGCTCCTGTTTATCATTGAAGATACATTGACCTAGGTGATCGACACAGGCTCTTTAGAGCCTCTAGTTTAAACAATTTGGCAGTAGTCCCTTCTTGGTATGCATTTTGTTATGAAATGGATGTCTGTGATATATTTTAATTTCTCTTTTTTAAAAGTAGACTTCTTATAGTTTTCACATGCAACGTTTTAATTAATTTTGATTTTTCCACTGCCAACTTCATCTGTTTGGTATATAATGTGTACGTTTTGTTTATATAAAAGGATATTCAGCGATGTTGAAAGACAATCTCAATGACAACGTATGAAAATAAGAATTGTTTAGTCTCTAAGAAAAACTACAAGAACTCCTCTGCTTTTTTGGCAAAATGGATATAAGTGGGTTCTCAGTGCAATGTGGGTACTGTGATGTTAATCAAGAGATTCATATAGTCTATAGATATAATAAGATGTATTCGTGTTTACATTTTACATTGAATTGTAGTATCGATTTCCGGACATTAAGGAAATTCTAATTTAGACATTGAAGTTCCGGAATATCAAATCACAGGTTTTACTTTTCACAGGATCCGTTCACGTCTTTCTTAGAGTAAGCTACTAGAAGACCACAAACGTAATCGGATGAAATATTTGTGTTCGTTTAATTGAGTCCACCGAAGAATTTAATGAAATGTATTGCTCCAGCGCACATGTTATTAACACTTTTTGTTTTCTTCCTTAAGGTGATATACGTATCATCTCAAACAGATTAGAGATATTTCACGACAACGAATGGGGAGCAGTCTGTGGTGATTACTTTGACAAAACTGATGCTACAGTTGCCTGTCGACAGCTTGGAGACAGGTATGCAACATATACAACAATATACTTTTTGAAAAACGCAATTGATAAAATGTAATTGTATATATGCATGTGTCAATTTGAACACTAAATGAAGTTTTCTGATTATAATGTTTTATCTGAGGTTTTTTGTATTAATTCGGATCCTTATATTTTGGAGCAATATAACCGGGATTCAAAATGATTTAATCGTCAACCTGTTGACAATCATTTCAGACAAAAAAAAGATTAACTTTAATTTGCAAATATATAAACGAACGAAAGGTTCAGTAATGGAATCAAAAGTTTCCGGGTTTGAACTAACACGAGCAAGCTGAGAAATAAGCTTTTTGTTTATTCACAGTTCAATTTAATAAATTCAAAATAAGAGTTACATCTAAATTGTATTTTACATCCTATTTTATTCAAGCTCTTTACATCAAATACTATCTAATTAACTTATTTTGAATTCTAAATGTTCAAATAAACTGCGTTTTATTTGAATTTCAAAAAAATAATTTAATTTCCTGTACTGTATCGGTATTTTGGAAATGACCAATCTTTCGAAATGCGGATACAGTGAGTGTTGATAAGTTTCATATTTATTGTTTAATTCAAAAAGTTTGTTGTTCTTCTTTAGCATTGCTTTGGCATTTCTTGTACAGCAGAGCTATAGAAAAACAGTACAGTAACGGATGTAACACGGACACATTCAGTGAGATCATAAGCACTTTATTGTACACCTTGTGACCTAATTACCTTGTTTTATAAATATAATTTATATGAAAAGTGTTCATCAAAATTATAATTATAAAAAGGCTAATTATGTCCCAAAATGCTGAAATTAAATAAAATTTTTACGAAGTTACTGACTGCAAGAGTAACTGCACCCATAAATGTTTCCACGTACACACCTCTCGTGTGTTTGCTTAGCAGTTAAGTTGAAATCTTTTAAATGTTCAAAATCGAACTATAAGGAGGATTTCGCCTTCAAGGCATTTGCTTGAGTCGAATTATGAATGCTCAACGTCAATAAATTCTACCCATTCAGATATATGGATGGAAAATGAAAAAAAAAATTGTGTCACGTGATTAATACTTGGGTCTACTCGAATATCACGTGACTAATAAGCATGAAAATAAACAACAAAAAATTGATTTCCAGAACAAGTTGCGTAAAAAATGTAAACGAGACAAAATAAGCTATTTTTCATTGAAAGTTATACCAATAAAACAGAAATACATTTTGTTTTATATTTATATATCTTGTTCTTTATTTTATTGATTTTGAAAATATTCATACATGTTGTATTACGTTTGTCAGGTAACTATATCTTATTGCATACGTCATTGCATTTTTAAATGTCTTAAATCTGATATTCATATTTTTGTTGTTTCTTTTTTTTTTTTGCTTTTTTTTTTACTTTTTTTTTAGGGGGGGAGGGGGGTATGCGTCGGGGAAGGAGGCAATTACAACCTACACTTTTAAAATGGGGGATGGAGGAGGCAAAACATATTTTTTTGTTTGTTTGTACGTATGTATGCTTTTTTTCTTGGTGTGGAGGGGTATGTATAAATTCAGGGGCGTAGGATGCGGGTGAGGGGACCGTAACTGTATTACACGCTTGCAAAGGTGAGGAGGGGGGAAACTATAAAAAAAAAAACACCCTTTGGCAATTCATTTCGTTATTAAAATATAAAGTGGCTACGAAATAGGACATGAACTTATTTCTAGATTATTAGACTATTATGATAGAAAATATAGATTAAAGTTCTTTTGCTTGTCGCTTTAAGAATCCACCCTTTTTTCTTAACTTTTCAAGCTATTCTTACTTCACTGATATGTATCAAAGGATTAAGCAATGATTAACATTTTACTCGCGCACAGCTGATAGAATTGAGAAGCGCTAGTGCTAACGCAAAATACTAATTTATTAAAGACTAAATATCTCCGTGGTACATAAACCGGTATGCAATTTTTTTTTTTGTTAACTCTTTTTAATTATGCAATCGTCTTAAATGCAAAATCTATTACTTTCTAACTGAAAACGTCGTACAAGTCAGATAAAAAACAAAAGTAACAAAATGAACGGGATGGTAACAACTGCACTTGTAGTTATGTCAAAATCGGCTATCGCCTCGGACTTGACCTGACTACTCGTGCAGAAAAACCATACGGAAACGGTTGTTACCAGCCTGTTTTTTTCGTTTTTTTTTTGTTACCTTTGTTCTGTATCTTATACTTATTTTTTGTAATTCTATACTAAAAAAACTTTTGTTTAAAAATAAAAGCTCTAAATGTTTACATTATAACATTAACGATACAAATTTTACATGTTGAATGTCCTGTCCGGCCTTTTATGGGATATCTAGTATGTTAGTATGTGTAAAAACAAGTAAAGTGGCATTTTTTGTACTACATGCATGTTATATCTGTCTTACCATATAAATGTGTAAAAGGGGTCCTCGTCTCGAACCTATAAACCGGCTTGCATGTTACAGTTTAATTTCTTGTCAGTAAATTAAAACGTCAAAATCAAACGACATATGCGAACTCATAAAAGATCCCAGGCTTATAATTAAACAGGGGCGGATCTAGCTATTTTTAAAGGGGGAGGGGGGGGACTCTCAACCTAGGATAAAGGGGGGTTCCAACCATATGTCCCCATTCAAATGCATTGATCCGACACTGACATAAAACGAACTTCACAGCAAATTCAAAAAATTGAATTCCATTACAAAAACAGATAAAATCAATCAACTGGACAATTGAAAAAACTGTTGCCATATTCATGACTTGGTAAAAGCATTTCCCAAAGAAACTGGCGGGATTAACCTGGTTTAATTGGCTAGTTAAACCTCCCACTTGAATGACAGATGTAGGAAGAGTACTTAAAAATGTAATCATTTTCTTCAATACTAGTAACGAGCAAACCGTGTATTTTAGGAGTTATTTTGAAATAGTTTTCTCATGATGCGAAGCATATTATTTCCTTATGCATCAATATATGCAATTTGTTATTCCTCCTGGCTGAAATTGTCAAAGGAGAGGCGAAAGATACCAGAGGGACATTAAAACTCATAAGTCAAAAACAAACTGACAACGCCATTGCTAAAAAAAAAAGACATGATTATCAACTGGGAGATATATATTCCCTATGCATGCGCTGCTGGAATGTTGCTACATAGAAATGGAAAGTTCACAATTGGGAAGTTGAAATCATCTCTTTTGTCGATTAGTTTTGTTTTCAAACGACTTTAATTGTCAGTTTCTAGATGTAAGTCAAGATATGAGGCAGACTTAACTGTAACTGTTCTATCCTTTATCTCAAGTGCGATGTGATAGATGCTGTTGAAAATGTGTGCACTGGTGATTCCCAAGTAAAGAAATATTATTACTTTTGTTTTTCAAGATTTTGTATAAATTATCAGAAGTTATTCCTAGTTTTAAGTATATTTAATGAGCAATTAATGTACGTTTTACTTTAAGTTATAAGCTGGTTCGATAACGCCAAATATGGCGCAAATTTGTGATGTGTCGAGGACTCCAAAATATTCTGTCAGCGTTTGACGTTATGTTTTTCTTCCTGCTTAGAATGTTTACTTCTGGAATTTTAAAATAAATACCAGAGCAAGGTCAAGTTCATTAGTTTTTGCTGTGTTTACATTTGGCCTACAGCAAGGACCCCGTCGTTTACTAGAGGCAAGAAGCAGCGCATTTGGCTGTATACCTCGCAGTATATTTTTATAAGTACATGTAAGTGTCGTAGTAAAGAGGTAAGATGCAGCGTAGATAGCTTTAAGCTTCGCATTTATTCGCATTGTAGAATTTAAAGATATTCCCGTTTGGTCCATACAAAATACATAAAAGAATGTTATTTTATTAGCTCTGCCCCGCATGTAAATCAAAGAGTTGTTAGAACATTGTACATGTATGTTAATGTATCAGCGGTTCTAGAAGTTTAATACACGCACTATTTTCTTCTAGGGATTATTTATTCACTCCACCATTGCTAAGATACAGCAAACATCAGAATTGACGGCCGTTTTCATTAATCCCTCGTATAGTTACAAGTTTTATGAGTTTGTTCGTATTTTGTTGCCTTAAAACTAGACAAAACATAGCAATAAGCAGAAATTACGATAAATGCGTTCAATATAGTCACCAAATTTTGAATTATTTAGTGAGAGAACATCATCAATATAGCGGAAAGTAAAGTTCAAGAATACTGCTAACTTCTTTTCTGTTCTCCTTAAGAAGTTTCTGTATAAAGTCAACCTCATATGAATAAAGTAACACGTCGGCAAAAAGAGGGAGCACAGTTTGTTCCCATTATTTCTTGTAAAACACGTCCTCCGTACGTTATAAATATGTTGTCAATCAAGAAATCAAGCATCTTGATAATGTCAGTTTCTGAGAGTTTTTTGTATGAAACAGAGTGATTTTTTACAAAGTAAGATTTATCCTCACTAAGACAAGATACGTGTATCTACGTTGGCTATTCCTTTTTGTTAACATATAACCACACTTTGAATTGTTTGTTGAGAGAACATCATCTATATAGCGGAACGTGAAGTTAAAGGATAATGCTAGCTTCTAAGTCTTCCTACGAAGATACTATATGAAGTTAGCCAAATATAAATGAAGGAACAAGTTAGCATGAAGAGGTGCACAGTTGGTTCCCATGAGAATGCCGAATGTTAGTTTAAAACTATATCTTCCAAACGCAATTAATATGTCATCAATCTAGATATCAAGCATCTTGATAATATCAGTTTCAGAAATTTCTTTGTATTTTTTTTTTACAAAAAATGATTTATATCTACCTAAGACAAGATATGTGTATCTACCTTGGCCATTCTATTTTATTGTAAAAAAAAAACCAGGACCAATTATTTCATTTTTTTAGTTAGAAATAGAAAATACTTGTGTAAAGGGTAGAATATTCAATTGTTTAAGTATTATTGCAAGATGTAAGAGACTTAGATTCTATATACTTCAAGAGATCTTTGGACTTTTTCATTATTTATATCTGATTCACGCAACCCCAAGATTAGGTAGTATGACAATGCTTTTGCTGGTTTGGCCTATGCTTATTTGGGATTTCCTCCTTTTTAAGTGTCTAGGGGTATAAGTTGAGTTTACAAGTGATTTGCCAAAAACTAATTCCTCTATCAAGCAGTTTATGTGATGCGATTTATTCACAAAAACAATATTGTTCGGGGCGTTTTCTGCGGGGACAACAACATGTATGTCATGAAGGTCGGAATGGTACTTAACAACATTTTGGTCTGTAAAGATCGCTGTAAAATGTGTATTCATAGACTCGTTCAGTTTAATTCTAATTTGTATCAACGATCTAACTGTCTTAACCCTTAACCCATCCCTAAAAAGCAGTTTTTTTAACATGTTTAATATCAACATATTTCGTCATGTATTCCAACAATGAAGCAACTTACAAATCGTTGTCAGATATCAATACAAGTATTATCAATGTGTTTCAGGTCTGGATATATAACGTTCACATATTTTCATACTACTGGGAAAACATGGTTAACCGAAATAAACTGCAAAGGAGAAGAAAAAAAGTTGGCTACGTGTATACATGCGGAATGGGGGAAAAACAATTGCAGTCAGGCAGTAGCAATAACTTGCACGAGTATGTACTAAGATCAATAATTTACTTTTTTTTTCAAAATGTCTTATTGCTCAATAATGATAAAAGACTTGCTATTTTACTCTGATGGATGAAATTATAGATCACTAGCAATGCTTTCGATCCACGAGAACTAGCATAAATGTAAGGCGCACCTGTTCCTGTATTGCATGTGTATTTCTGGATTTTCCTTCATTTAAAACGATCAGATTTTTCAGTTCTGACAACAAAATTTGTACATTGGCGCGATCAGGTAAGGTAAACGTATTTCTCTTACGCCCACTTGGTACGTTATTTTACCAATGAAAATGTAAACGAATGGGGACACAAAAGACTTCTCAACGCTATAAAAAGTAATAAATAAAACAAAACACTACAGGAGTAAACCTTGTGTTTTGATTAACAATAGAAACTTTTAACATTCTTTACTTTAAAAATGAGATGAGGTATGTGGCTTGTTTGTTAAGTTTCGATTCAGAAAGTATTTATGATATCGTCCGTTCTTAAAGCATAAAATAAAAAATTAACTAGCTTTAATAGTAGTATTTTAATGCATGTGTTTGCAATTACCTTTTTTGGACTTCAAAGCGAATCTAGTATTGTGGTTTTCTTAATAGGTCCTTGTTTTTAGTATCTTTCAACTTAGTTTTGTCTAAATTTTATTGTTTGAACGAATACATTCATGACAAAACTTTCAGTCGTGGTTCAGTTCAGAAAGTAGAAGAAGAACAAATTACTTTCGTACGATCTTTTACGTACTTGTAAGATATTGGACAGTAGAAAGCTAATTTGATATTATACTATTTGCATTTAAGTTATGAAATAGGTGACATTCAAATCAATATCTAAATATACTTGTTTGTGGTAGTGATTTATTAACAAATGAACAGATCTTTACTAGAACGATAGAATTTTTTAAAATACGTTAGTTTGACGTTCGTCTGATTGACTTGGCAATTTTGCTAGTTCTTGAAAAATTATCTAGGATAATACATTGAAGTTTGATGTACAGGATACTGGAACTTTTCTGCTTACCACTTTACTTGAAAAATACCCAACCTTGGCGGCAGAAACGTCTTCCTATAATGATGATAATGCACCGACTATTCACCTTAGTGTGTATATTTTTTTTCTATTGTTTTGCTTATTTTTCATTAGGGAAATGTTTGGTGTTTTATTCTTATGAACATACATGAACAATATTTTAATAATATTAGGGTCGTATTTCTTTTTCGTCCCTTAATTTAAATGGAAATATTTGGGGTTTTTTTTCACTTCTTTCTGAATGATTGACAATTGCTCTAGACTATTATGTATCGCGCAAAAACATAAATACATTTAATCAGGTCGGGTATTTGTAAATACACATACATTTACATACTAATGTTCCCGCCAATATAATTGTTTGTTTGTATAATAAGCCACACATTTTGCCTTATAGCATCGAACACTCCATTAAATGAGTTGTAATGCATGATTGACTACTACATGTTAACACTTTGACAGAATATGTGTGTTTAATCTCACCTTGTATGGTTAGGATTAGGGTTAGGGTTAGGGTAATGGTCGGGTACGCTTCCATTTATGAAAACACATACATTTACATACCAATGTTTCCGCCGACATAATTGTTTGTTTGCATAATAGGTCGCAAAATATGCCTAGGAAAAAGGATCAATCCATTAAATGAGTTGCAATGTATGATTGACTACTACGTGTTACACTTTGCCAGAACATGTGTATTTTAGCTCACCTGGCCCGAAAGACCAGTGTGCGCTTTTGTGATCACTTGTCGTCCATCGTCTATTAACCTTAAAAATGTGTCCCGTGACCCTGCATGTTAACTTTGGTGGCAGACATGGCGGAAAATAGAACATAAGGGTAAAACGCAAGTTTGGTCTATTATTTTGGAAACCGCTATAGAAAGGGAAAATCTGGCTGAAGTAGAAATGTCAAAATGTTGAGTTCTACCAATTTTCTGTTTAAGTTAAAAATGGTTATCGAATACTTATCGGAATTATTGCCTTTAAATGACGAATTTTACATGAAGTCGAAAGATACCAGAGGGACATTCAAACTCATATGTCGGAAATAAAAAAAAAAGAAAAGACCAATAGACAAACAATAGTACACAACACACAACATAGAAAACTAAAGACTGAGCAACATGAACCACACCAAAAACTGGGGGTGATCTCAGCTGCTCCCGGAAGAGTAAGAAGATCCTGCTCCGCATGTGGCACCCGTCGTGTTGCTCATGTAATTACAAACCCAGTAATAAGTCTAATTCGGTAAATTACATTCGGAAAAAGGGTACGAGGTTGTAATTACGATATTAGGAACATATCCGTTATCATCTGTGAAACGAATATTCCATAACTGTCAACCAACTCGTGATGGCGTCCGTAAAAATTACGAAGGAATGACTTCAACTTCACCACTTGGAACTCTTGGTTTAATAGCGTCCTTGTAAGCAGCAACCCTCTTTCAAGGAAATCATGATAGGAAATACAAGCCCTGGTATATCGTATCAACTGGGAGATATATACTCCGTATGCAGGTCAAAATGATCAGCAAATAAAATCTACAAACAAGTCAATTTTTTTTCCGAAATGCCACAAAACCAGGTTCAACCCACCATTTTTTTCTTAAAATGTCCTGTACCAAGTCAGGAAAATGGCCATTGTTATATTATAGTTCGTTTCTGTGTGTGTTACATTTTAATGTTGTGTGTTTGTTGTGTCGTTGTTCTCCTCTTATATTTGATGCGTTTCCCTCAGTTTTAGTTTGTAACCCGAATTTGTTTTTATCTCTATCGATTTATGAGTTTCGAACAGCGGTATACTACTGTTGCCTTTATTTATATAGTCATTTTATAAAATTTACTGTTTGCAAAATTATAAATTATTCTAAGTAATAAGGATGTTCGTGTCCCAGGCAGAAAACCCTGGCCGTGTTAGGCGCAAATTTTTGGAAGTTTTGGTCCTCGGTGTTCTTCAGCTTTGTACTTGTTTTGGCTTTCAAACTTTTTTCATCTGAGCGCCACTGGTTAGTCTTGTGTGGACGAAACGCACGTCAGGCGTATTAAATTTTAAACCTAGTACCTTTTGTTAGCTATTATTCGTGTGTTTCTCTGTCCTTTATGTTATCCCATTTGTTTGTATTGTAGTCCTGTAAAGTAATGTTGTCATTTTAATGTTATATTTAACATTGCCATAAAAGCGGGAGGTTTGGCATGCCACAAAACCAGGTTCAACCCACCATTTTTTTCTTAAAATGTCCTGTACCAAGTCAGAAAAATGGCCATTGTTATATTATAGTTCGTTTCTGTGTGTGTTACATTTTATTGTTGTGTTTTTGTTGTGTCGTTGTTCTCCTCTTATATTTGATGCGTTTCCCTCAGTTTTAGTTTGTAACCCGGATTTGTTTTTATCTCTATCGATTTATGAGTTTCGAACAGCGGTATACTACTGTTGCCTTCATTTAGTAGACTCTTATGAGTTATTGCTCTAAAATTTACGATTTGTTTACTCTTTTTGTGTTATGGTCAAAAACTAAAGAAAATAGAGAAACTGTAAACATAAATAAATTATCAGCAATACAAGATTTACAAGAAAGAGTCATTTGTCATGAATTCTATTGTTGTCGTTATTGTTGGAGATTGTCATTTGTTGAAGATTCACATAGACATAGGTTAGCAACACAGGCTCTATAGAGTCTCTTGTTCTGTGAGCAGAAACTCCAATTTTCACAGATTGTCGAAAAGAGAATTCGTCCGACTTTTTCTAGTTTGTGTCTACATTTACATACCATGATATAACTCTTATGATAAACGAATAGAATCTTAAAGTATTCGTTGACGAATCAGCAACCAATTGCCAAACGAAATGAAACCCCAAAAGACGTAAACATTGAAACCTGTTTTAAGAGACAACTGAAGGGAGAGCAAAAAAGTAGTCTCATGAGATAAAGATTCAATCTATATGAAGTGCACTGCAAGTAAGGTAATATTATAACGAGTTCACGGAGTTGCGGCCCCTAACTAAGGTAACGGGTCTGTGAGTAGCTCAGCCAAAAATAGTTTTTGGTAACATTTTTCTTTGAATATTGAAAGGAGAATATTGAAATACGAAAGAGTACAAACCTTGATGCCTTTTCACTTGTAAAATTCCATTTGCAATCTTAAACTTACATAGATAACCATGACCGAATCAGACACCCAAGAAGAATCCAATATGGCGTCGTATGCCAAAGCTATTTATAGAGGACCTAAATCTGAAATAACTGACTCTCTGTCCTCGGTAAAGCCAGTGTTTGTAGAAGAATCAGATGTCTTTAGTCATCTCCCCAAACCAGCTACTAAAAATGTATTTATAACCATCACTGAAATGTACTAGGCTGTAGGTGTAGACTTTCCAGAAAGATCAGTTATGGGCCTACAGAGAATTAAAGGTCTATGGAGAATTTATCTCGAAACAGAAGAAGACAAAGAATGTCTACTCTCAGATGGTCTTGAAATTCGAGGCAAATCCATCTCTATATACTCTAGAAATCCAAGAGTTCGCATACAAGAAAATTCAACAGATGTGAAAATTCGTATTAAAGATGTACCCCTCTCGGCTGATGATGGACAGATTTTGAGAGCCTTAGAGAGGTACAATTGTGAAATTTTGAAGCAATTAAGAGAAAGATTACGCTACGAAGGCATGATAACTAACTGTCAAACCTGTGACAGAATAATTTACTGTGAAGGACCATTGATCTCTGCTATTCCAAATTGAATTCCAATTGGAAAATATAGAGCAACGGTTATTTACAGAGGTCAACAAAATGACAACATTAAATGCAACAAGTGCATGGAACTTGGAAACAAAATCAAGATTGTAAAAATGATTGGAAGTGTAAAAACTGTGGTGAATCAGGCCACAGGCAAAATGAATGCACTAGTGAAATGTTTACTGAGCAGGATCAAAAAGGCGCTTCGAGGAAATTTCATGAAGATCTTTACGAGCCGGGCGATGATAACATACAACCGCAAACAGACAATAATGAGAATCTAAATGTTATGCAACTAACAGAGAATGTAGCACATGCAGAAAATGATTCTGCTTCAAATACAGTCACTCACGATGATTCAATAAAATCACAATCAATATTGACTGAGAACCTGAGCTCGAGCCCTATAAGTGAACAACAAAATGATTTACCTCCGGCAGTCAGACCGAAAATAAAACCAGCTCGCAGGGAAACGTACAAACCCTCACATGCATCCAGTGAAGCTACCAACAGAAATTCCCGTGGTCAATCACAAATAACCAGTTTCATTTCAGGTCCAAATCAGTCTCTACGTAGAAACCAACATCAAGATACTCCAGTCAAAACAACAACAATCAGTGGTTTACAGAAGTCTCCAGTGACTCCTACAGCGAAGCTACATGACGGTGCCAGTAATAACACAAGTTAAAGATCAAAAACAACAAAAACCTAGTTTCTGTATCTATCATTGAAATTAACACTAAACTATTTAGATTTAGTTGAATATTATTTTTATCATATAACAAAAAGAAAACAAATGTCACTGTTTATAATACTTTTCACTTTTGTTTTTTCTCATTGCTTGTATATATTTTGAATGTTGTCCACTTTATTCAAACTTTCTGATTTTGGCAAGTGATACCCACTCTGGATTAAAAAGTAAAGAAACTGTAACATACAAAGCTTTTTATTGGCACCAAACTGCTTATTTCAAACAATCATTATCAAGCAAACTGTTAAAAATTTCTAATAAAGTTATAATGATAAAAATCCATTTTTTATTGATCTGGTCACATTCTATCATTCAAAACCAGTCAGAGCTGTCTTCTTATCTTAAAAATAAAAATAAATTATTACGGCCCAGGAAAAATACAACTAATTGATCAACATTGACATAATCACCTTGGACCAAGTGTACAATGGATTTAAAGATAGAGAAGCGCATATGACTGTATTATATTAATATTGTTAGATTTTTTTTTAAACTCGATTTGAATATGTACTTCAATATGAAAAGCATGTATGATTTTATTTGTATTTGTTCAACAAACATTGAGTGTGCTAAAATATGTACTCAAATTATGATGCACATGTCAATGTCTGTTTTTGAAGTCACATGGATGACCCAAATAATGACTTATGGGGTAACAGAAAATAATAGATTTTACTTATTCTTGAATGTTACTTGTAATTGTATGTTTTTAACAGAACCAAACTGTGCTAACACTGTACTTGTGAACACATGTAAAACCATTAAAACGAAATATGTAGGATGGCTATTTCATCCTTTTTGCGAAAGGGTTGTAAATACAAATACAGGTAAAAATGTAACACTGTTTATAAACATTATTTACAAAGATGATAATAGTAAAAATTGTAATGATAATAAAAGAAACAATTTGAGTATCAAATATAAAAGAATAATAAATAGCTTATGCCTATTTATAAGACAAAGTACAAATCGATTCATAGATAAATGTCCTTCTAGAACCGGGAATAGTGATAAAAATAAAACAACTGAAAAGATGTCTATTTATAGTCTCGAGCTCTGTGAAGGTCAACTTAAGTGTGACCCAATTGGGGATTTACCTATGTTTACTTTATACACATAAAAGCGTAAAATGTCTTTCAGATAAATTAATTACTCACCAACTATTGTGTTAAACAAACATCTTCATATCTGTACAGTTAATTGTAAAGGCCTACAACAACCTGATAAAAGAAAAAGATTGATTAAATGGACAAAATCACAAAAATGGTACATTAATCTTATGCAAGAAACACACTTTACAGATAATTTGATAAACAATTTATATACTGAATTTGAAGGCAAACTTTTACTAAGTAATGGTTCAAGCAATTCTAGAGGTATTGCCATATGGCTGAAAAAATCTAAACTTTAAAATAATTGATGACTATAAAGATAAAGAAGGAAGACTTTTACTTGTTAATATTGAAATAAATGACACTATAATAACAATAGTTAATATTTATGCACCAAATAATCCAAAAAGCAGAAATACTTTTATTAAAACTATGCACTAATAGAAGAAAAAAGTGTTGGTCAACTTATTCTAGGAGAAGATCATAATGACATTTTATCCTAAATTGATTCAAAGAGTATAACTAAGCAACAAAAAAATAGAAAAAAAGTTCATAACTTAAATAAACTTATAAAGTCCCTAAAGCTCAATGATGTGTGGAGAATCAGAAATCCAAATAAAAATCAATTTACATGGAGCAGAAAAGATAGATCCGAGTCAACAAGAACAGATTATTTTTTGATAGCTCCTGAAGTATTCAAAAACTGTGTTTCATGTGATATTAGACCAATAGTATTACAGTACACAGACCACAACTGTGTTTCTTTAAAAATCAATCTAAACAGAGGCCACAAAGGAAGAGGATACTGGAAACTAAACAGTAGTGTACTTCAAATTGAAGACTATGTTGAATTAATTAGGAAAACAATTAAAAAAATTAAAAACAAAGCAAAAATGAGAACTGATCTTGACATACTGTGGGACAAATTTCAAGAGATCAGACAATAAGCTATTGCAAAACAAAAGCTAAGAATAAAAAAGACTAAATCAGCAAGTTGGAAAAAAAATTAACAGAATTAAATAGTATTATAGACACATGCAATGATAAAAACAATAATAACATATCAAAGGAAATAGATAATATAGAAAATGAAATAGGAAAACTCTATAATGAAAAAATAAAAGGTAATCAAATAAAGGCACGGGTAAAATGGGTCGAAGAGGGAGAGAAAATTTCAGCATATTTTCTAGGGATGGAACAATCTAGGCAGAGTAGAAAAACAATAACCCAACTATATGATGATAAAGGTCACGTTACAAGAGATCAAGACAAAATATTAAAATTAGAAGCAAATTATTATAAAAATTTGTACTCTACAAAAAGTCCTGAGATAGAAGAAACAAAAAAGTATTTAGATTCTCTCAAGGAATATAAGAAAATAAATGACTGCGAAAGTAATACTTGTGGAGGGGAAATAGCTGTTGATGAATGTACTGATGCAATTTTTAAAATGAAATTTAACAAAGCGCCTGGGCTTGACGGATTAAATGTGGAATTTTACAGAAAATTATGGGATGAACTTAAAACTTTTATATTCTCTACTTTTAATTACTGCTATGAAAAAGGAGAACTATCTAACACTCAGAAAGTTGGGTTTAATATCCTTAATTTATAAGAAAAATTACCCTTTATCACTAGACAATTATAGACCTATTACTCTGTTAAAGTATGATGCAAAATTACTTGCTTATACCTTAGCACAAAGATTAAAACCCCTGCTACTAAAGATTATACATACTGACCAAAAAAGATAGGTCAAAAATAGGTATATTGGTTTTAATATTCGACAAATACAAGATGTCATAGACTACTCTGAAACTTTCAAAATAGATGGGGCAATTTTATTCCTTGATTTTACAAAAGCATTTGACTCATTAGAATGGGACTTCATGTTTGAGACTTTATAGAAATTTGGCTTTAAGAATAATTTCATAAGGTGGGTTCAGACAATGTACTCTGATATTAAAGGATGCATTATTAAAAATGGATGGGTTTCTGCCCGTTTCAGGGCATCTCGTGAGATCCGACAAGGATGTACGTTATCATCGTCACTATTTGTTTTAGCTGTAGAAGTTATGGCAATAAAGATAAGGGAAAATAAAAACTAAAAAGGACTAGAAATAAAACTAGACAGTAAAAGTCATACTCTAAAAATCTGCCAATTAGCTAATGATACTACTATATTTCTTCAATAAAAAAAGACGTATCTCTAGCAATTGATTTAATAGAAATATTTGGTACTATCTCGGGTTAGAAATTAAATAAAACAAAAACTGAAGGGATATGGTTATGCCGATTAAAACACTGTCGGGAAAAATTTGAAGATATAAATTGGTGTACTGCACCTATCAAAACCCTTGGAATTTAATTTGGTTACAATAAATAAGAATGTCAAAAACTAAACTTTGAAAAACAACTTTTAAAAAGTAAAAAAAATAATATCTGAATGGAGTAAAAGAATAAATATTGTATCAAACACTATTATTCCTAAAGAAATGTTGCAAGATTTTAAAACTTTTACATACAATTTTATTTGGAAAAGTAAAAGACATAGAATAAAAAGATCCACACTTTCAAATGATTTTTTGGAAGGGTGACTTAAGATGACAGACATTGATGCTTACATAAAATCATTGCATATCAGCTGGATTCTCAAATTATGTGAAAATAAAAATGATAACTGGACAATTATTCCCAACTTTTAATTCAACAAATTAGGAAAATATCTTCTTGTATTTAGAATGAATTTAAAGTATATAAACGACATTGATAAAAGTAAGTTACAATATTTACCTGACTTCTATAAACAACTAATTAAAGATTTGATAAGTGTAAAAGGAGGTAATACAAAGTATCCCAAAAATGTTCTTGAAATTAGAAAACAAGTTTTAGTGGAAATGATAATATCAGGTTTAACAATAACATTTAGACGACACATATCTAAGATATATCCGATAGCGCACATGTTTGAAGAAGCAGCACTGTGCCCAATTTAAATGGAACACGGATCACATCGAAAACGGAGTTGATTCCGGAAAACTAAGTCATATATATAAAAAAAAAAAAAGAGAAAGAAAGAAAGAAAACGAAAAAAATAACAAAGATATGTATGTGTAATAACAATGATTTATCAAATAAATTTGTGAAATGAATTATGTTATAAATACTAATATCATGAAGAAGTTATATCTTATCAAATAATGCTTCCCTTAACTATTAGGTAAACTAACATGAGGGATACTCAGTTAAAAGCTTTAAACTTAGTAAATTGTTACAGCATATATGCAATAAAGATATTGTTACATTAAAAAAAATATTATAACGTCTACGACAGTTTGACATACAAGGCGTGGATTTACCAGTAAATAGTAGCCCACGAAAAAAATGTTTAGGTTAAGAATTATAAGGATCAAACACATTTTTCTATTGGTTATTTAAGAAATAAATTATGCAATCTCACCTTTGCTTCAGTTTTTAAATTACCGTATTTGTCTTATAAAATCGAAATAATTCATGGAAGCCATACATTTGTTGGAAATTAACACATGGCCTTGGCCGTGATATTCGAATTTTATCGATTTAAACAGAGAAAAAAATAATATATGGGCTATTCGTTTGTTCGGCCGGTGCACCACGTTCCCATGTTAGATGGAGGGTTGAGCGCTCACAAGCATGTTTAACCCCGCCACATTCTTTATGTGCCTGTTTTATGTCAGGATTGAGCCTGTAGTTCAGTTGTTGTCGTTTGTTCATGTCCGTCATATTTGTTTTTCGTAAACTGTTTTGTTATAAATTAGGTCGTTTTCTCAATTAAATTGTTTCATATTTTTCATGTCGGGGCCTTTCACAGCCGACTATACGGTTTGGGTTTTTCTCATTGTTGAAGGCCGTACGGTTGCCTATAACTGCTTACATCCACTTCATTTGAACTTTTGTGGATATTTGTCTCATTGGCAATCATACCACGTCTCCTTATTTTCATATCATTACCTATGAAATAAACTATGCAACAGAGACGAAATTAGCTAATTATGTATTGTGTGACATAACAACTGAAGCCGTTATTCCGCTAAAGTGCACGGCGGTCAAATCTGTGAAACCACTTAGGTGCATGGAACCCATACCGCCTACATGTATTTAATTTTATGTATACACAACAACCCTATTTTTTTTTGCATTATTGCATTATTCACTCGGAAATATATTTTGCATGTATTATTAGCGAATGATATATTTAAATCTATTCCTTAACAAAAGCGCTGGTTTTTTTTTTTATCTGACGAGCTTTATTATAACACTATTACAACACTAGACAATTTGAAAGAGTTTGATACATAACGATTAAGCAACAATACATATTAACAACAAAGTACGTAAAGTGGTTCAGTTCAGTACTTCATTCTCCGTCTCGGAGTTCCCTTTCCGTCTGGTTAAAAAGTCTAAGAGTTTATATAGTTAAACCCTCTGCTGACATAAGCAACATGTGTTACATTATATTATTAACTTAACACAATACACTGGTCGTGTGTTAGATTACGACGTAGATAGATAATGTATAGTAGGTATTGTCTGATTGACAAATCCTCTAGGTATGTTCAGTTCTATAATTCAAATTGAATAGATATTATGAATCTCTGATCTCCTATAGGTATGATGACGCATATAGTGATGATAGTAACTTTGCTTCATTCCTCCAATGATTAGAAAAGAAAGTCTCTAAACAAAGACATTTTCTTTAAAGTTCGATAGTAATATATGCGTTCCTGATATATATATATATATATAATGTTTGTACGGAATGTCTCCTACGGTAAGTCCAACATAAAGTTTCTGTAAAAGTCTATGTGAAATGTTTTTTTTTCTGGTTCGTTCAGAATAAAGTTTCTATACACTTCTACAGCTAAGAAAGTTCCCACATGAATAATATATAACAATTAATCCATGTTATTCAATAATACATTGTTATTTATCAGATTGCACTTCGTTAATCGTCTCGGGAATATTACCGAGAGTTGGTATACGGCTTATCCTCAGCAACCGATTTTCTAATGAAATGTCTTCTGGCTTCATTGTTTGCTGAGTTTTATGATGTAATAACGAAGTGTATCTCCTATTTCTTGACTTTTTACCAATAACGTTCAGAAAGGATAGTGGCTGAGATTTTTCATCTTCATTAGCGGTGACCACGCTTCGAGTTTTGTCTGTGAAACCAACCACTTCTTCTTCAGGCGTTGTCAAAGTCAGTTTTGCCCTAATGAAGTTTTTAGCTAACCAGCGTTTTAATTTTTTATCCCACCCAATAGTCAATAATTAATATGGCAACAGTAATAACAATATAGACCCATATTGGAAATGTAGGCTCTCTCTTTTGCAAATTTTGCATCCTATTATCCCCATTAAGTGATTCAACTAAGGCATCCGTTGAAAGAGTTTCAATCCCTTTTAATACTTGCAACAGCGGACGAGATTGATATTCTGGGATGATATCATGTAAATGTTTCCACATATTAACGTATGCAGTATTATAATTTTTCATAAACTGAGCAAATGGTTCATTGCTATTTAAGTTAGATTCAATTTGATAGAAAGGTAGTAAAGTTAGTTGATCATTATTAGATGAACATCCTACTTCAAGAGTTAATAGATCGATAAGAGGTTTCATTATTATTTCCATGTCCACAATCAATTGACATGCCTAACGGCCTGGATGTGACAATTATTCAAGTCCCAGATGATAAGTATTCCGCCATTGGAAGTATTGAATTTACTGTAATGGTATTATGACAATTATATTTAATCAGTTTTTCATCATTCCTAAAAAGAGAAACTATGCAAAATTTACTTAGATTTATTCAATAGACTAGACTTCTTGTGTCACAAAAATTTCTAATGGGATGTATACATTTACTTAGTTCATCATCATTTATTAGATTATATTCAGTCTTCTGAACATTTACACCTAACGCCTTAGCTTCAAGTTTGGAGTATGCTAGCATAGACTTCGTGTTGTCAACTTGTGAATTTAAGTTTATTGAAATAGGTAAATTGAATGGTTTAAAGATCTCAAAATTACTGTTTAAATCTATCAACGGTACTGAAAAAACAACGAAGATACGATTATTATCCAACACGGTGTGACAGCTCAAGATTTGATATTCTCATAATTTAGTAATTGGATCACTTGGTAGCATTATGCCTGGCGGTAATCTTGAATTAATCCCAATTAAAAGTGTTCTTAATTTTTTCGGTCAAATCACACCTGGAGACAAATGACCTAACGACAGCATATTTAGCTGCATTTGCAGGTGTGAAATAAAAAATTGAGTCTGCGTTACGAGACGCGAAAAATCTTCAGTTATCGAATTTATCATAAAATGTCTCTCAATTTGAAAAACATCTCTCTTTCACAGCGACAGTGAAGATTTTAAAATCGATATTATGCTGAGACTGACTCAGCTAGTTTAACCAGGGGCTTATCGCAATCTCAGCAAATTATAAAAATAACAACTTGTGTTTGAAGATTGTAGATTATAATTCCAACAGAAGGGATACAGCAGTTATTACAGAGTGTGTATTGTTTGGTAAACCGAAAGAAATAAAATACAATATTTTACAATATGTACAAAAAAAATATATGAACGTTAAATGCAAATATTAAAAATCGAGTCAAAAACGAAAGTAAAATTTGCAGTTCAATTCAAAGAAATAAACAATTACAGTCCGTATTTGTTGAATAAACGTGTGATTCATGTTAACGGAATTATAAGAATATATATTTAACAGTTTATAATCGATTTGGAACGTACTTGACGGTGATTTGTCACAATATCCTCAGGATCAAATTTGTCGTGTCATCCATTTGCAATTGAAAGGCAAGGAAAAGAAAGTAAACGGCAGGTCACACGGTTAAGTCCGGATTTAATTCCGGAAAATATGAATGTCTGAAAATACAATCCAATAAACTTTATAATTAATATAATTGCGAACGTGATACAGAATACTCCCCGTCTGAAATCTATCTGTTATCAATATTCCATAAAATATAACACATGTCAATGTCACTATAAAGATCCAAAATATGTACATATAATTATACAGGGTTATTCTCTGCGAGAAGAATCATGTCCACGATAGGCCGTGTGTATGTTGTGGCTTTTCCATTTACGATTACTCGTACTTCTGCTTTTCGGACATGTTGGTCGGAACTTTTAAACGAGTTCACCATGATTTCAACGGGCCACTGTGTACGGCAAATGTTTTGTCCTTTAGAAGAATACTGTCTCCTTCGATGAGATCACGGCGATCTTCGGTCCATTTTCGTCGTTGTTGTAGTAACGGCAGGTACTCTTTCCTCCAACGGGACCAGAAAACACTGCCCAGAGCCTGTACTCGTCACCATTCGGCAAGATATAGATCTCGTATGTTGAATTCTCCAAGATGATCTGAAGTGAAGATGCTATCGGTCTTCTGTGTCAATAACATAGCTGGAGTTAATATTAACGGATTCTCTGGATCTGTTGATACCGGTACCAGAGGTCTAGAGTTAACTATTGCTGAAACTTCTGCCATTAACGTGTTGAGCACGTAATGCGTTAGGCTTCTTCCGGCTGCACTTAAAAACATAGAATCAAGTATTCTCCTGGCGATACCAATCATTCTTTCCCAGGCTCCAACCATGTGGGACGAATGCGGTGAATTGAAGATCCAAGTTGTACCAGAATTGTACAGAAAGATCTTGAAGGGTCCATATTCAACGTTGATCGAGTCAATCCTCAAGTCGTCAATTGAGCCAATAAAGTTTGTTCCGCGGTCAGATCAGAAAATATCAACTTGGCCTCTTATAGCGGCGAATCTTCTGACGGCGTTTATAAAGGCCGAAGAGTTCATTTCCTCGATGAGTTCGATGTGAACCGCACTAAGCATGTGAATAACATTGCTTAACGTTTTGAGTTAGCGTATCCACCACGGGTTTTACGTGAAACAATTGTCCATGGTCCAAAGGTGTCTATGCCAACGTTAGTAAAATGAGATGACGGTTCAAGACAGTCCTCTGGCAAATCAGACATGATATGAAACTCGGTTTTTCCTCTTAATTTGCGACATGTCACACATCTGTGAATACTAGAAGAGATCAAGCGTTTCGCTCCAACGATCCAGAATCCTGCGGATCGAATCGCCCTGTCTGTGAATTGGCGATCTTGATGTTTTTTCTTGTCATGGTAGTATCGGACTAATATTGTCGCTATATGATGGCGTCCAGGGACGATCAATGGTTTCTTTTCACAGAGGTTCAAGTCAGATTTGACAATACGGCCTCCTACTCGTAATAGTCCTCGTTCATCCAAGAACGGATTGAGGTTGGCTATCGGGCTTCGTTTAGAAATTTGTTCCTTTCGTCGAATGCTATATATTTCTTCTCCATAAACCTCATATTGTGCGGACATTAAAATGAAATTTTCGGCGTTCGAAACGCTTTCTACAATAGTCACTGATTCTGGCTTTCTTGTCCCGTGTAAACTGGAGAAACGTTCCAAAAAAGCTATCGCTCGCACAAGTGGTGTCCAGTTGGAGATTCGCTGAAATCTATCAGTTCCGATACCTTTACACTCTGGTGCTGCATATGTCTTTGCAACATTGACGGTTGCACGGATCTCGCCATCGTCATCTGGATCAATTAGTTGAAATTCGTCCTCGGAATTCCTATCTGTTCTGATGAAAGAAGTTGTTTCGGTCCCAATAACCACTCACTACTATGAATTTTATGGGCTGGTATGGATCTTGTCACTGAATCTGCGGGATTACGGTTAGTTGGTACGTAATTCCATTGACTTGAAGAAGTGAACTTCCTTATTTTTTCTAATCTGTTAGCAACGTAGATAAAAAATCTTCTTGTTTCGTTACTGATGTAACCTAATACCACTTTACTGTCTGTATAGAATTTCACGGTGTCTATGTGTAAATCTTAATTATCCATGATGGTTTGTGTGATCTCAACTGCTAATACGGCAGTAGATAGTTCAAGTCGTGGAATAATGTGACCACTTGTTGGTGCAACTTTTGCTTTTCCAAGAATGAACCCAATGTGTGGTTCACCGCAGCTATCGGTCGTGCGTAGGTATACAACAGTTGCTTTGGATTTTTCTGACGCATCAGAGAAGACATGAAACTCGTTTGTGGCGGTTTTGCTGAGATACGGCACGTAGGTACGTGGAATGCCCAATGTTTCAATAGCTTTTAGAGTAACTCTCCAAGATTTCCATTCAGTTGCTGTCTCATCAGAGAGTAGTTAGTCCCAATCGACAGTTTTTGATACCATTTTCCTTAGTAGTAGTTTTCCGTCTATAATCGCCGTAGCCAAATATCCAAGAGGATCGTAGATGCTGTTTATCGTTGATAAAATCCCTCTTCGAGTGATCGGTTTATTTTCTGAAGTCAATTGAAATAAGAAGTTGTCAGTGTTTACGTCCCAGCTGAGTCCAAGACTACGTTGCAGGGGTTTGCTGTCGACAACTAAGTCTAGATCCTTAAGATTTGAAGCCAAATCACTGGCTTGAAATGCAAACATAACTTCCGCACAATTAGAGGCGAACTTGTGAAGCCTTAATTTTGCATACTTAGCTAATGCTTACTGTGTATCCTTTATAAGTCTGACTACTTCCTCTTTTGTAGGACATGACGTAAGACCATCGTCGACATAGAAGTTTTTTGTTACAAAGCTAGTCACGTGACTACCGAACTCTTGTTCTGATGCCTGGGCTGCTTTCTTGAGTCCAAGCGTAGCAACGGCAGGTGACGGGCTATTTCCAAAAACATGAACCCTCATGCGGTATTCGACAAGGTTCTCGTATAGGTTGTTGTTTTTATGCCATAAAAATCTCAGGTAGTTTCGGTAGTCTTCTCTGACGACAACAGTGAAACATATGTTGAACGTCAGCAATTACTGCAACCATTTCTTACCTGAAACGCAAGAATACTCCCAGGAGATCATTGTTCAAGTATGGGCCTGTCAGCAGGACACCGTTAATTGATACCCCGTAGAATTTTGCGGCAGAATCAAACACACCCCTGATCTGATCAGGTTTCTTGGGTTAATAAACACCAAATAATGGTAAATACCAGCACTCGTCGTAGTCGTCTAATGGTGGAGCAAGCTCTGCGTGATTGTTATCCAAAATCTTGTGTTCTCGTTTTACTGGGTTCCTACTGAGACTGTCGTCTAACAGATTGGCACGATGAAGAGTTTCTTGTCGGTTGCTAGGGAATGGCTGTCTTAGCACATAGAACAGTAATGGTGCTACCCAACTTCCGTTTGAGTTTCTAACAAATTCGTTGTTCATCTGCTTCTGTCATTTCGTCTTCATATGACGTTCCAGGCTTATCATCGTCCCTTGATTTTTCAAAGAGTGGTGATTGCAAGTCCTTCGATACAGGGTCTGTGTAATTTTTCCGGATGTCAAACTTGCTTCTGCATGGTTGAAACGTTGATGGTTGTCCTGTAGGTAAAATGTTTGTAATTTTTACGTTTAATTCAAGATGCACGTGCTGTTTGTTGATACAAGTCTCTCCAATTACTACCCAACCAGTTTCAATTGTTGTGCATATGGAGTTCTGGGTGGTCCTGTGCGCTGATCAAGGACGTGGTGTGCCTCTATCAGGTCTCTTGCAATTAAGAGTAGAAATTGGCAATGTTCATCTATAGGTGGAATGCCTCCTCTGAGCTCTTTAAAATGAGGATGATGCATTGTGACTTCAGGAGTAGGAATTTCATCCCTATTATTGGGAATGAGATCACATTCTATTAGTACAGGCAAGTCAATTTTTTCGTTACCATGTATTGATTCCATAACGAAACCTCTTCCTCTTTTTCCGGAAGTAACTACTCTGCCGGAGCATGTTGATAGGGTATAGTTTTCCGGTTTTTCTTGTACGTCAAATAGACTGAAGAATTCAGGCGAGACAAGAGACCGGTTGCGTACATCCGTAAAGCTTTATCCTGGTTGTCCGTGTGATAAACATTCACAGGTAGTATTTTAGCACATGATTTCCCGTTATATGTATCCTTGCAGATCTCGGTGCTGGTAGAATTAACTGAGGTTGACTTAGTTTCAGCCGATTGTGTCGGCTCCCCGCCGTAGGCTGGTCTGGGCGAGCTAAACTGAGAGCTTGCAGGTAGTTGTGGTGTAGTGATGTAAAGTGCAGTGGTATGTTGTTTACTTCCACATTCTTTACAACTGATACGTGCATTGCATTCTCGACATCTGTGTGTGGTGGAATCGCAACACTTGTAACAGACATTGTTTTGCTTCAAAAGACCTTTGTGTTCCTCTATTGACTTGGCTCGGAACGCTGGACATTCATTTAAGGAATGCTTGGTATTGTGCAAAATACAAAGACCTTGTTACCTGGCGTCTCCAGATTGCTGCTTAACCGCTGTTTTATGGGCACCAACTTTAGCTCTAGGGAGAGACGTAAACCTTGGCGCAGCACCTTTTGTATTTGGTGTGAAAAAAGAGGGACGAAAGATACCAGAGGGACAGTCAAACTCATAGATCGAAAACAAACTGACAACGTCATGGCCAAAAATAAAAAGACAATCAGACAAATAATAGTACAGATGACACAACATAAAAAACTAAAGACTAAGCAACACAAACCCCACCAATGTGACTTTTAACCCAAAGATGAACCCAGGATAGTTCTTAATTTTGCTAATTTCACTGATGAATGCAGATAACTCTGTGAACGGCGGAAAGGCAACGTCGTGGTTCAATTTATATCTAGATGCCCTTGTTATCCACTTTTCCTGAAGTCCATAGGGTAGTTTTCCAATGATAGGGTTAATTCCAGATGGTGAGTCAAAATAAGCCAGCAGACATCCCAGCTTGGGAA